ATGAGATTTTAGAGACAGTTCTGTTTATCACAGGGACATGAGATTTTAGAGACAGTTCTGTTTATCACAAGGACATGTTAGATTTTAGAGAGATAGTTTCTGTTTATCACAAGGATGTAATATTTCATAGACAGATCTGTTTATCACAAGGACATGAGATTTTAGAGACAGTTCTGTTTATACATTGGACATGAGTTTATAACAAGGACATGAGATTTTAGAGACAGTTCTGTTTATCACAGGGACATGAGATTTTAGAGACAGTTCTGTTTAACACAGGGACATGAGATTTTAGAGACAGTTCTGTTTATCACAAGGACATGAGATTTTAGAGACCGTTCTGTTTATCACAAGGACATGGGATTTTAGAGACAGTTCTGTTTATCACAGGGACATGAGATTTTAGAGACAGTTCTGTTTAGCACAGGGAATGAGATTTTGAGACAGTTCTGTTTATCACAAGGACATGGGATTTTAGAGACAGTTCTGTTTATCACAAGGACATGGGATTTTAGAGACAGTTCTGTTTATCATATGGACATGAGATTTTAGAGATATCACAGGGACATGAGATTTTAGAGACAGTTCTGTTTATCACAGGGAATGAGATTTAAGAGACAGTTCTGTTTATCACAGGGATTTCAGAGACAATTCTGTTTATCACAGGGACATGAGATTTAGAGGACAGATTTTCTGTTTATCACACAGGGACATGAGATTTTCACAGAGACATGAGATTTTAGAGACAGTTCTGTTTATCACAGGGACATGAGATTTTAGAGAGTTTTGTTTATCACAAGGACATGGATTTTCAGAGACAGTTCTGTTTATCACAAGGACATGGGATTTTAGAGACAGTTCTGTTTATCACAGGGACATGATTTTTTTGAGACAGAACTGTTTATCACAGGGAATGAAATTTTGAGACAGTTCTGTCTATCACGGGGACATGAGATTTAGAAAAGTATGCATTGTAGATTGGTTTTGATGTTTAGGAAGTACCAGTAAGATAATACTATATATGGACCGTGGGTTAGAAATTATCACAGGAATAGACATGAGATTTAAGGATACAACTTCTGTCTTCACAGGGATATGACATTTTAGAGACTATATATGTTTATCACATCTGGACATCTATGATTTTAGGGCTACAGTTCTGTGTGTCACATGAATAGGTCATCTTGGTGACCAACCATCTTATTTACCAATGATGTAATATGTAGCAGTCTATATTCTGTCTATTGACACGCCACAAAACTGTATCAGTTAGGTACTACCTGGCCATAGGACTATTATTGAACTTTCAACATCTTAAACAAATGGTTTAAATCATCCAGTGATTATTATATATAACATATAGCATAACCCATTTTGCATAAAGCATGAAAAAAGTATTCAATTACACAGAATCTACATAAATAAATAAACAAATATATAAATTAATTACTGGCAACAACATTTATATATGACAACATAAGCCTGCTTATTATTTATTACCCTGTAAAACACAATCAGGGATATTTTCTGATGACTTTAGGTTATCTTAAAATCTTTAAACGAATATGAATTAAACATAAAGCATTTCGCATAAAATATTTAGCATGTCGTACTTGGTTTCCACACGTAACTGAAGCCGAATGTATAGTGCCACCCGACTGAAATGTACTGGCGAGGGCATCGACAGGACAATCCACCCGATCACATTATTCTGACAACGGGCGAAACAGTCACACTACAATAGTGGTGGACAGTAAGTAGAGGACTAGTCATTATCAATTAATAAGTAAGGAATACAGTAGTTAGAAAGAAGAGAAAAGATTTCATTCCAAATTTAGTCGCCTCATACGATCATACAATTTGGACATTAGGTACAGTTCTTACGCCCTACCTGCAGGCTTTTTCATAAAGGATCCTCATTACTTTTGTTTAAATATAGTATTGGAAGTCAATTCATCATGCTACATAATTAGGACTCCGCTACTTATATTTCAATCTTTAATATTCATCAGGAACCTACATGATTTGACGGACAATGGCATTAATAATGTGATGTTATCAAATAACGTCAGGAAATGAAGCCATAGTATGGGGAAAACGTGCTTGAAATTTTTCTAAAATGTGTAAAAGTACAAAAGAAAATATCGACATGTTATCATCAGTCATTATTCAAATGCAATGTCGTTAGAAGCAGGTTAAACTATAAAACAAAAATTATACGGAGACTATCTGAAAAAGACCAGGAGAATAGGACTTAATGTTCTGCAATTCGTTGAGTGGTAAGCTTTTCTCGACTGGGATGAACATTGAGCAATTGTATATCATAATATCTCTATATGATTAATGAGCTGGTGAACTAGAGATGCTTATTGACGAATAAGCTTAAAGGAAACGTACTGGAACAATAATTTCCACAGGGACCTTAGAAATGTGTTATAGTATAGTTCCATATCACGTCTAGTGGAACATATTCTTACGTCTCAATTCTCGAGTCCCTGTGACAGAGATTAAGTAGAAGTGGAAGTTGAATCTTCCTCAGAATTACATACAATTTTCCACGAATATCTTTTAATATTGTATGTATTTCCAGCAGAATGAACGCCATATACTTTAGATTTGAAGTGACACTTATTGTAGCAACCAACATGTCCGTCGTCGTGAACGTTTTACATTGGACTCCAATAACATCTGAATATTGGTTAAAATATGGATCCTGACACTCCTACGCCTTCCCCAAGGATTATCGTTATCATTTTCAAAAGGGATAAATTTTCGCAGTCTTCAGATTTTAATTCTCTGAATACAATGGTTATCAGAGATCACAAAGACCATGTTACGGACATGAAATCTAACAAGAAAACGTTGCAGAATGCGCATACAAGATTGTACAAAAGACACACAGGTGATTAAGAGTTATATACAGTAGAGCCAAACAATGAATTCAAACGCATTACACAACTGCGTCGTCTTTCTAGGACTCGTCAGTGATATTAAGGGCCTAAATTTTGAAGCCCTGGAGGCAAGTGATGTAAATCAAAAGTGATCGAAAAAATGTCTTAATCTAGATGTGGAGGTGCACTCGACACACAATTCAACATATTTTAGTTATTTTCAAATATCTGATAATTTAAGAATAACGTCAAGTACATGCTCAGATACAAGAACGCCATTATTTCAAGTGTCGGAGAAACTGGAAGGGTAAACAATTGAAAAACATCTGTAAGACGTCAGGAAGTGTACCAAACTGAAATGGAAACTATCCTAGAATCCATGAGGAGAAAATCGGCACTTATAGATCGTGAAATCATAATTTTAAAGTCGACTTTCATGAATCAGTACATTGCTACTGGCACGCACCAATGAAACACCGCCAACTAGTCCTGTTTGTGTTATAACCTCATCGACATCTTCTACATTATTTTTCTTGCTCTTCCCGTTCATGGGATTATAACACAGCTGAAAAAGTCTTGTCGGTTACCATATCATACACTGCACACCTCTTTGTTGTAAATACGCTTCACACTACTGGACATTAATCTGATGAAGGAGAAAATGTGGTCATGGAAACGATATTCGTACATTTTCTAACTGACCATGAAAGCCTTTTTAATTACGTGCAGGTAACAGGTTCTTCCATTTTCATTGTAAAAGATGCTGTCAGATCACGCCCCCGACCCAACACACACCATTTCCGATTATAAAGGATTAAAAAAGAGCGAATGTTCAATATCACTAAAAAGACATTTCTATAAATAGATACAAAGCCGGTGAGTTATTGGAATCGGCTTCCCTTTACTCCACAGGAAAAATTAAATTTAAAACCATAAGTTTTTTTTTTTACAAATCTTTATCATTAGGTGAGCGTTCAAAGTCCGTAGATATGTTAACTTTAACCACACTTGACTTATCTGAGGAAAACACATCTAATATTATACTAGTGTATGATTCTTTCTTCTAGTGGTATACTTTAATGAAATTTTAAAGATACTATCGGAACATTACTTTTGTGATTATTATGCCTCCTTTTAAATGAAAAGAGGAAGACATATCTTTTTAGTACTGGCTCTTTTGGTCCCTATTCTTTTTTTTTCCTAAAAACAATCTTGTTCGGGTAATGACTTTCAAACCGTTGAAAATATCTTGATGGGGAGTGCTGTACACATTTATTACCTAAAGCCAATATGCAGTACACTGTTGTTTGGCTAATGCAACCTTGATATCAACGTCAAAGGTCAAGTAAGTGATTTTTCCCAAAAATAAATTATCAAGGTCAAAGGCCAGAATATTCATTAAAGGCATGACCCAACTTGGAACCCTGTCGAACTCCAGCCGAAATATATTTATTACAGTTTTTTTTAGGGATTTCAGTAATAATAAGTTTACAAAAACAGATCTCTAGCTATTGTAGAAGTCATTCATTAAGTAACCCTGCTCATGTGTGCTCGTGTTATAGTTTTCGTGTTTTGTACTTTGATCTTGTTAACGTATCACCGTGCCCGACAAAGATAGCAAAGAATGTGCACAAACATATTTTCCGGACTTTGCTCTGTTCGGACCCTTAATTAGGATTACTGAGGACAACATCGTGACATGCATTAGTCATGCAAGGCCGTTTGTCAGTCTATATATATATCTAGAATATAACTTGAATTTTATAAATCTACAGGTAAAAACAAGCTTATGATTAAAACTGTAAATTCTTAAAAGTTGGAAAACAATTAAGAAAAGATGGACGTATGATTTAATTAAATCATATTTGTTTGAACTTCTTTTGACTAATTTTGATAAAAGTAAGCTCACAATGCTTTAATTCATATCAGGATGCGAATTTCATACTGTTGATAAACAATAACCTGATCTTAAACAATCGTATTCTTTCTTCAGGTACCCGCGAATTATTTATCAGTAGCGAGCGAAGGATGTGAACTGTTTTCGTTTATGTATCAGATGGGCCCAGCTTCCTTGGGTCAAAAGTCAGTGTGACTGTCGACGTCACAGTGTGAAGTAAGTACTTAAGAGAGGACTGTTCTGTTGACTGTCATTTTGCTCACGGATAGAAGACAAGAAGGAACGCATTTGTGAAAAAGTAAGACTATTTCTGAATGCTTTGTATTGCTGATTTCATTCTATTACTTTGGGACCGATATGTAAACTCCTAATTCTAACTCTGCTATTGGGTAACATGTCAATTTGTATTTGTTTTATTTAATAATGTTTATTCCATTATATTCTCTGACCTATTTTGACGAAATCTAGCACAATTTCAATTGACAATATTCACATAATTACCAACATTCTTGATTTTTCAGTGTAATGATTCTATTGAAAAAAATACTTTGTTCATTTTCCCGCCAACAGTAATTTCTTTGCTGAAATGCTAATAATTTTTGCTGTGTTTGGCCCCAATAAACTACCAGGGTAATTTAAAGGCGGTAACTTCATCACTGAACAACACACAGGGGCCCGTAGCATACTTGGTATATCTTCATTATAGATTTGATCTATAACGGAAACATTTCTTGATAACTTTTCATCTCTCACCCGCCAATCCTTTCTTCCTAACATTATTTAAACGTCTTTTTTTTTGTTTTTAATTGAATTTACTTTTTATTTCAACCGAAGATGTAAAAATAATTGAATAAATCTATTGTCACTAGAAATTGACGGCACGCGAAAACCAATTGCTATTTCTTTGATTATATGATATGGTTCATTGACCTTGATTTTGAACTCTCCGACTCCAGCTTGCGATTTTTAGACAAATTGTCTATTTTCTGTGTTGAATAGAAATAAGATTTTTTCCAAGTCTATGTTATTTACTCTTTTCTCTTGTGAAATTTGAACGCATTCATCAGGATAACGTAATTATTTGACTAGTACTAAATGACACGATAAGTTTTCCGATAGGGATATTGTTGATAGTATTAGACTTTACACCATAACATATTTACCTGTAATTAGTTGACACGTAAACAAGTCCCACTGGAATGACTGACATATCAATGTACAAACACAAGCTTACAGGTCGGATATATGGCCTATACCTTATAGCTTTATTTCAAATCAGGACGGATTGGTGATTTCTCTCTAGATTATACATCCTAGCTGGACATAATAGATATTAATCAATAAAAAAAAACAAAACAAAAACAAAAATAAAAACAAAAAAAATATAGATAAGTAGTACTGTTAAACATATTATTTTTTTCGAATTCAGATAACATTCATATCACCTATGAATGTCATAGCTAAATTTATGACGTCATCATTTTTATGACGCCATTGTCGTAATGTGGAATGACATTTTCCGTGCCCGGAAACGTTTTCACCAAATATCGACTATCCCTATACTCTGTGGCGGTTTTGTTTCTCAGTAAGATGAAGTTGTGTTCTTGGTCTAAATCCTCTTTCCCCCTTTTTGCTCTGAATGAAATGCAATGAACCTTCCGTATGAGGTAATCACTAGCTACTATTAGGTGACATTGTCTCAAAAAGACCCAGATTGTTCAGCTAGGATCTACAATATAAGCTTTCTTACTGCTTGTCTTCCGTGGTTTTGTAGCTATCTGTCACTATATTTGGCATTGGGTGTTTTGAAATTACTTCAAAATCATTAATTTTCGTGGAGTTTATTTTTTTTTGTGTTTTTCATGGACTCTTGATTTTATGGATGAATACATAATTATAGCTATTTAAATATTAATAAAAAAATGATTTTGAAATATTTTGGCATATAAATTTGTAGATTAAGAGTACCCCCGAAATAGCGAAAATATATTCCCACGAAAGTATACGATTTAACAATAACATTGTTTTCAATGGTATGCTTGTGTATAAAACGTTTATTTACTAGTTTTTTACAGCCAAACATTAATCATCTAATTTGTTTTCAACAGAAACAAGATGGTAAACATGAAACTGATACTTTTGGTGTCTCTGGTGATAGTTTTCACCGAGGCAGCCCCTCCAATCAAGAAAGACCATAAACTCGTCGTAAGTATCAACATTCGGGTACCAAATTCCTGAAGAACCAAATATCTTATTCCTGTGGCTGCAATTAACACTAAAGTTGTAGAAATCTTTCCCGTGTTTTACCCATTCGAATAGTGGTACTGTTCAGAATATACATGTATGCATATTCCTCGCATTCTCATGAAATTATCCGATATATATATTTAAATTATTGAACTAGTGCAGTTCCCCATCTAGTTTTTTTTTTACATCTTTCTATTAATTTGGATCTACATTTGTTGCTTCCAATAGATGTCTAAACTTGAGGCGTTTGGTACCACTGATGTGTCCTAGAATTATGAAACAACTGTATGATCAATGCTGTGATATTCACTATTTGGCTCTACTGTATCTAATTCTTAAGTATTAAAAGTCGATGTGCACTTATATTCTAAAGTGAACCAGTTGAAATATTATGAACGATCGGCAGTGAAGGTACACATGTTCCATCACAAACTTTTCAAGACTGGAACTTTTCTGATTGTCGTCTCCATTTTGAAATAGATTCGTGCTTAACTAAATATCAGTCATCATCGCCAGCTTACGCATTTTTATTTTCTATTTTTAAAATCTTTATATTTTCTCTACCACACAATTCGGTACCGTTTTCAATTTGCAAAATGAACTAAATAATACACAATAAATGGTGTCTTAATGTGTCAACATGACAGTAGCATAGTCCAAGGGAAGTAACTCAAATTAAAAGAAATCTTATTTTAAATTCTTTTTTCCCCTATGGGCTATATCACAGCGGCCATCCAACAAGTAACGGCCATAAATAACTTTCCTATCGAATAAAAGCTTATATATATTCATAGCGATATCTGCCTTGTGTCAGTTTTTCATTTTCTCTCGTTTACAATAACACCTCATACATTCACTTCATCATATTTAATTTCTATACAAACTATAATCAAAGTACTGAAAGTACTGAGAGGCTAAACGTATTGAAAAATGTTGACAAATAACCGCTAAGATATATTACTTTCCCCATACTCCTACACTTTGGAATGCAAAAATTGCTTAAATAAGAGAACCAGAGGCTATTTTTCTTGATTTTAAGCGATTTTATATCTTCTTTAATTCTTATTTCAAATTTGACGACAATAATGTAAAAATAAAAATAGGGGGAAAAAAAAATAATAACAAAATACACACAACCATATATTTATCGCTAACAAGCCAAATGACAAATAGCTCTATGATGAAGTTGACTAAATAAAACCTTTGAAATACCCAAGATGTTGCAATTACTATCCTATCAATATGAGGATTTAAACAAATTGAAAGGACTTTATACCTACTTCTTTATTTTAAATGTATTGCAAAGTAATAGTCCTTACTTATTATAATCATATTTGTAGTTGAGGAAAGTAGATAAGGTATACACAGCATTTCAGATAGATAGAAGTGTAAGTAATTACATTAAATGTATTTACATGCCTATCTTCCTTGAAGTGTCATGGTTAGACTTTTCTTCCAGTAATTACGTCTATAAAGGCATAGTTCTATGAGATTAAACCAGACTTCAATATATATACACAATTTACAATATTTTCACTAAAGCTACTATTATTTCTGATCTCCAATGCATTAGATAGTGTCACCATGACACGCTAAATGAATAAATGTGTTATGGAAATATTTCGTTTTAGTTAATTGATAATTATAAACATGAATATTTTGAGTTTTTTTATACGCGCTTTGTTTAAAGGAATATTTTCATTTCAAGGAACTTTGATACACATTAAAAAACATTGAGAAATCAGCACAATCAACCTTCATCAAATAAAACTAAAAGACAAAAAATATAGGTTATAACAAAGTCAACATCATGATCAGTACAGTATTAGAATATATCATTCATAAATCATGAGCACCAAATGTACCTTGCCTACGAAGCGCAAACTTTTCATCTTCAAAAACTTGAAAAAGTGTCAGGGCGGTGGATGTGAAAATCCTGAAAAAGTGTCATATCGGCAGGTGTGCGCGTAGGACGAACAGTCCAATTTTGTGACGTCTAATGAGGTAAAGTGATGTTATATATTAAAACGATCTTGCCACAACGACAAGGATTAAAGCAAAATTGATGTTCTGTTTGTAAGTTTTGTTTGTTTATAAGTGCTGTTAGTTGATAATTCAAACCAAGCCCCCAGACTAGCTTCTTATCATGGCGCCAACTCGCACGTACAGTGTTCTGTACGCTTACGTCATGTCGAGAATTCCGTAAAATTTATCAATAGTTCAACCACACTGTGCTTCTTTTTTGAAACATATAGTAATTGTATTGTTATTAAAAAAATAAACTTATTTTGGATGCTTTTAAAATAGCGATTTGAAAAATCGCGGCATTATTTACGCAGAAAATTGCCGCTAGAGGGCTCTAACTCTTTTCGATATTTCAGCCAATGAGAAGGCCAGGATCGGTAAATTTTGTCTGAAAGGCCGTCACAATAGGCTATGCGTACTGAGTGCGTTTAGCCTAAAAATGAAACGAGTACTAGAAAGCGAACTTTGGCGAGGAAGTGATATTATTCGTGTTACGTGTCACCTTGTTATTTCTTAGATACAAAGTCTCAGGGTGACCTATTGCGATCACCCTTTGTTCGGCGTCGTGCGTCGTGAGCTTTTAACATATTTAAACTTCTGCTGAAAAACTCCTGAACCGATTTCAATGAAATTTCACAAAAACCTTCCATGGCCTAAGGCGCACCAAAATTTATATGGCCCCTAGACTCCCCCCCCCGGGGCCTGAGGGGTGGGGCCAAATAGGGTCTAATTAATTGAAACTTCAGAAATTTTCTTCTCTCAAATGCCAGGCATTGCCTTCAGATGCCTTACCAGAATTGTAAATTTCCAGAGACTGAACGTTGTTTGTGGTCGAGAAATGTCTTGCTGGGAAATTAGGTTATGACGTCTAAGAAGTGAAAGGACGTGTGGTTGAAGGATCTGGTCTCTGTATCGAACGGCATTGAGGTTTAGATACAGGACCACTAAAGAGGATTTTACAAACCATTACATAAGCCCCATCGAATCTATCGCGTTCAACCACGCATGCGTCGGCGAAACACTCACCGCATCTGCAATATGCCTTTTTTCTTCCGACTGAGCGGTACAGACAGAATCTAGACTCGGTTCTACTGTTCCTGGATGGAAGATTTTATTTAGGAAAATTCAAATCTTCAGTGTAATTTCTTTTAATTCAAACCTTGGTTAGAAGCCTTAGTATGGGACAGTAATTAATATGTACACAATTTACATTTTCGTAATGTGTACAATAAAGTTAAAGTTTTTTATCAAAATCATTTCTATGACATGTTGCTAGAAGCATAGTGACTCAGGTGACTGTTAAGGCTCTTGTGTAAATATTACCAAGACGTAAAAGTTAAAACATGGAAATATGAGTTATAAAAATCTGCCTTGGCCTTCATCTTAAAAACAACTTCCCTTCCGTCATGTGGCAATTCGAACCTCCATGGTGGCAGGTTATTTTCATTACTTGTTCCTATTACAGACTTGGTGTCGTTGACCACTCCAAGGGTTTGTTTGTTTGAATTTTACAGTTCGTCTTACTAGCCTCGGCTAGTCGGAATTTCCCCTTAGTCGAGCGGCGGAATGTCCGGCTAGAGACCGAAGGGTCGCTAGTTCGAACACCAGCAGTGGCAGTATATTTTTCATTACTCCATCCTATTACACAAATCGGATGCAGGATCTTATTGTAAACGTCTTGCTTTTCGTTGTAACAGAAACGATCATTGTTTGACACTGCCTCGGAATTTGTTCGCAACAGTATGAACAGTGTACAAGAGAGCTTTTTAGCCGCCAAGGTCCATATAGAGAATGCCGGCGAAGCTATGAGGGAGAGTCATGAAAACGTCAGGGAACAGCTTGACCAACTCGGGGATCGGATGAGAATGCATCTGGATTCAGCGAGGGAACGCATTCAGCAACTTGGCGCGTAAGTAACGTCAAATTTACTATAAAAAATGTAATTTTCGAGGGTCTTTTTTCTTCGAGTGTGGAATGATTATTATATTTAGAAAGTGAAATCAATTTTGCGCCAAAATTGTAAAATTGCTTAAGAAACATCTATTTTTTTGTGTTTATCGATAAGAAACGTCATTTGTTATATCAGTTTCTTTTAAATCATTTTTGTTAACCAAATGACCAACATTAAAAGGTGATTTTATTTTATTAAAATTGAGAGCTACTTTGTACCAGTTCTTTCTCGTGGTTATCAATTTCCAGTTTTACTCTCTTAGACTGCATCTCAGCGATATGTTTTTACGAATCTAATAGTTTAATATCGGCAACGATTAATTAATGCGTCTGTTCACAAATACCGGGAAAATTAGTAACTCGCGAATACTGAGTTGTTTACATGAGAATACAACTCCTTTAATATATCAGTCAAAAACCATAACATCTTTGTGTTACCATTCAAAGCGACCTCAACCTTGGAGATGACAACGAGGGAGACACTGAACCTGTAGACCTGTCGTAGGTGAGTTGCACTGGTTCTTTTTCACTTGAGAATGCTAGCTCAAATTACGGTTGTCGTTGTGCTGGCGTCTTTTTTAAAATGAAAATGTTTATGTGGCGGTGTTTGGCCATTTCGCTGTTTGAGTTCCATGGTTCTGTTGAAAGATTATAGTTAGCAAGGAAATATTGAACTTGGATTTTTCTCTTTTCAAATATGAAGACGAGTGTCAAGAGAGTCACGAAAAGCACGGATAGAACTAGATAGAAAAGGGAAATAGTAAGATCCCAAGTATTGTAATGAGTCCAGCAGATCTAGTTTGGTATCTACAATGTTCCTTTGGTAGAAGTCCGAGAAAGGCTCCCGATTCTGTGACGGGTTAATAATTAGTCGCCTACAATGAATACGCAGTGGAATACAGCAGCCATATTTTCCATGTTCTGCTTGTAGTGAAAATAAAAGTAATTTAAAGAAATGTGTTGTAAAACATTTGATGCCTAGATATAAGAGCATATACTGGATGGAGATATATACATTTGTCTACTTAAACCAACTCAAGATGGGTCAAATATGCTACTCCACAAGAACATTGTCATAACAACAAGCCACAACAACATCAGATAAACGTTACGTCAACTTCCATCATCATCCACCTATTTTTACAGTAGTCAGAAACTATTGACCTCTAAGCCTGTGGTCTGTGGTTTCTTTCATTATGGTGGAATCAACATCAATCTAAAACACACGCTTTCGCTACTTCCAGGATAGTGTGTAAACGGTTACCCAGACAAGCATTTAAATCTCATTCTGTAGCTTTTTTCACATCGTTTTAATGTCGACAGTTCGGTGTTTGTTTTGGCCATATCAAATTGTATATAATTTGCATATTTTAATTCAATTATACAGATTAAACTCACGTTTTATTATACACCAAGAAAATTAACAAAACTTATTAAACTATTAATAACTTTTCTTTGTTACCTGAAACGTGTGATATCATAATCGTTATGCTAATTTACACATTTATTTATTTAACCGATGGTCATGCTATGTACACAAAGGCAATTTACATAAATTGTTTTATCTAATTTGCAATTACTTATTTCATTTACATACATCGGACGACCCTCAACCATCAACTTAATGACTATTGGTCTGGCCCATTATCTCCACCATCAGTTCATTGGAAAATTTAGCGTTTTATAGACTACAAATATTGTAAAATCATTCATTTTCGTATAAATTTTTTGATTCCATGGGTACTCTTCATCCACAAACTCATACGTACACGAACTGTTATTATAAGTATAATCAGGCTTATTAAGCTTTGATTATCCACGGAATCAAGTGTCCACAAAAAACCATTTTTTTAGGAACCCCTCCCCCTTCCTCCCCAGGAAATGATCCTTACAAAAATGTATATCATTTTATAGTATATAATTGTTTGTTAGTTTCTGTGTCACTAGAATCACTGTGACATAGATATTATGATTTATGAGCCTTGATTTCTATCATGAATGTTTGTGTCTTTTCAGATGAGTTTCTTTCTCGACTCTGTTTCCAGTCTTGATGTTTGTTCCCGCATCACATGACAAAATCTGAACATTTTAATTAAATTTCATGATAGTTTTATTCTGTTTGAATTTCCAATAAGAATGATGAATTGATATTTGGTTATAAAGTACATTTTATGTGGAAAAGATGACCAAATTTATGAAATAAACCAAGACTATATTAAAATGACTTGTGTTATCAGAGAGTGTGACTACCTATTTTATTACAGACAATGACTTCGTTTAGAATCGTTGCTTCGATTTTCGTTCGAGTTACTCCCCCTTGTGTTTTCCATGCGTGCACGCCTCTCCATTGAAATTGCGATGTGCCAACATCATGCAAACAATAATCCTTTTATATCCGTAAACTTGTAGCTATTAAAAAGAAATTATGTTATAGAACGGTCACTTATCTCCTTAACTAATTTGATATGTTAATAAACTGAACAAGACGTTGTTGAGCACGTTAACATACAGTATGTAAAGCACTTCAACGTTTCATAAGTAATACAGAAACATCCATAACATAAAATATATTTGTTTCAGAAGCGAGAAAATCAATGGTCAGAGAGGGTTAATCTATGTTTGGAATAGAAAGAAACTCATATAGAAATAAGTGATAGATCAAAGTCACTCATCACACCTGCGTACAAATTTGTGTTTTGTTCGATGTCTTTTTAACTTCTTTTTTATGGTGTTGTCTTGGCTTTTGTTTCAATGTTTCTTTAATTCCTATTTTATACATTTTTTTCGCTTATTTAGATCGATATTTGGTAACTAAGAGTACCTTAACATGAAGAACCTGGGACTGAAAAAAAACAGGAAATGCTATATATATTTCTCTAACGTGTTTATATCTGTTATTTAAATATTTATTAAATATTACACATATTCATAAAATGTGCCTAAGACTGATGAATTATTCTGGGAATTTAAATTGAGTACTTTCATGTGACGGAATTCAGCCATTAATACGACTCACAGAGACAGATATATGACCTCAATGGATACCTATATAGGTCTGTGTCACAAATACAGACAGGCAATCAGATAAAGAATGTTTCTCGTCTACTTATTATAATATTTACACTTAGTGACCAAACAAACGTGCTGGAGCGCTTGTCAATCAGCTAAGCATGAAAATAAAAAGTTCTTAAATTTTCTAAAACTAAAAAAAAAGTCTCATATTTCTCGGTACGACTGACAAACAAAGGAGAGAATACATTTTAACTGTAAAGGAACCTTTAAAGAAATGAGATGGTTCTTGGGTTGAATACGGCAGTCATAATTGATAAAGTAACTGTAATATCATGATGACAAAGTATTTGGATGCATTCAATGTGATTTATTATCAAAGTTTTATAAACCGATTAACCATGACAGCACTTTAACAAGACATGTTTCATGTCATGAATTCGATACATTTTATCATTTTAGATTAAGGAATAGCTAAAAAAAACCGGTAATTAAGTTTCCTAACACTCCAGACAGGTTACATACTGTACATAGACACAAGACTGATACTTCATCAAACACAGTTCGTTCTGATTCAGTAACAATTAGTTGCATTTGAGTCTTATTTTCGGTCATTTGGAGAAAAAGTCTTTATATTGCCCTTTTTTCTCATGTCATAATTGGGATACACCAAAGGATAGAAAGTCCTCCCAAAGTTTGTCAGAGTTAACGTTTGTTAGAGTTAACGTTTCAAATAACAGATTATGTATTTGTTTTCTTTAATTCTAAAGAAACTGTTTAGTTTATAGACATGTTAAATAGTTAACAGTGGTCATTATGACAACATTCAAATTTCCGCATTCATTGTATACATATATTATGCTATAAAGAAATGTAGCCCGTGCACTTGAAACGCTCTTTTAAAGGTCAATGTCTGTATTTTGTTGCAAATGTCTCCAAGAGTGTCTTTGAAACCTGGACTGGACATTTAGATGTTGTCTAATGAGGAAACACGTGCATGTTCAGATGAAAAGGAATTTTGCAATTTGCATGTTGATATAGCTCAGAATGGAGACAATTTTGAATTGTGAAGAAAGGGCTTTATTTACATACAAGTTTACATAGTTACTTCCAGACAAAATAACAATAAAACATAAATGAATATACGGGTAGACACGCATCAATGCCAAAGACATAAAAAAACAGTAAAGTCATTTTACAACATCAGAAATAGATGATTAATAGAATCTTTCACCCCCTTTGGGGTGAGACAGGGGGATCAAAACAAAATTTTTTAGACAACGGATGAATATAGTGACGAGGCCGTCTCAACCGCGTCACGCTTAATTGTAATATCCCTCACAAAATATAATTCCCATTAACGTTACAGTAAAACATAAAAAGGCATAATATCAATGACAAAAACAATTTTAATGTGAAAGTATGGATGAAATGACTTCAATATATACACAAAATCAACACATATTATTAAATCGTTATTTTACAATGACGTCATTTACTTGTGAAGTTCCACTTCCAGGTCAAGATAGTGACGTCACGTTATTGTTGAGAACCCACGAGGAGCGCGTGTAGCTTGTCTCAACCCTAGGATGAGATAGAAAAATCTCACAACGGTAAAAACTGTGGATATCCCTGTCCGGGGTAAGAAAAAAAAATGACGTCATACACTTGCCTATTCACCCCGGAGGCCAAACATATATGACAAAGAGGATTACAAGCACTGAAGAGAAAATGGGGACGTTTTCTACAATATTTCATAAAGCGATCTTAAACTAGCTCCATTTTCATATCAAATCTCATTTTATTCAGATAAAATATTATCTATTAATGCTCATTTTTTGTTTTTGTTCTGCTTCTTCGGGGTGTGTTTTTTTCATGATTTTTTCTGTTTTCTTCCGTACACTAAAGTCTGTAAAAAGAAACCTATTTATGACTAGAATCGACCGATACTCTGAGTGTATTCTTAGTTGTTTGACTTGGTTTATATTGTTTAACGCCCTATCAACAGCTAAGGTCATGTGAGGACGGCCTCCCGGTGGATACGAGGTAATTATGTTTGCTTTTGGGAGGCTACGATATGTTCGTGCAAGCCTTCTTATGATAGTGCAGAACGGTGTTTCCAAAGAATGGTCGAAATGTTTAAACAATGAACGTAAAACTTTTACGCAGACTTAGTAGTTCCAGCACATCAAATTATGCTGCCGATGGCTCCCAGCACGCCATCCCACCCGGTCACATTATACCGTTAACACGTATTCGAAATAAAGTTTCCATAACACGACAAAAGTCAATCATAAATAAAAGAGAATTTATTACCAACCCAAACAAGGCATTTATATAATTCCTCAATACATGAAGTCTATTCACCACACGAAGTTTTCAGGAGATTTATGATTAGCCGATATTTGTGGACGATTCGTTCTGGACCGTACACAATGGCAAGCCACAGCAACTTTCTGTTGAGATAAGACGTATTCATACTCTCCGTTGATACAAGTGTTTTGTCTCTTGAGAACCGGAAGGAAGCGGTAAACAGGCTCGCACGCATATTGCTGTCTTCGCTTATGTCGTAGTCCAGATATCTGACAACTATCACATCTACACTGGGCATGTACAATAGTTGACGGTATTCTGGTAGCGTCTACTTCTTTCACTAGATATGAAGGACACGTGGATGGATCTTCCAGCTCGCCATTGCCTGTTGGAACGGGACAACTTGTGTCCCCTTGTAGTAAACTTCTGTGGAATCAAGGATATAATACGTCAAATACACAACATAACTAGAATAGGATGCATACTTTGATACCAATAAAGAATATACGGACTTTTCTTATTCTAGAAAAAAATGTCATTATCTTATCTCATGATATATTACCACCGCGTGATGTAGAAAAAATTATCACAAACTAGTCATAAAAGTAATAATTAAGCAGTTTATTCCTTTAAACATTATCTAGAGGATTAATATAGATCTGCCTACAACACACGGAGATAATTCATTATTTTTCTATACATTTTCAAAGCATTGACTACTACTAGTAGATTATACGAACTGAGGAATAGTCGATGTTATATGCGTCAAAACGATGGAATTATTATTCAACAATGCATTGGTATTTTTCTATTGACCACCGCTGGTCTTCTTTCGTTATTATTATTTTTTGAATAGTATAGCCCCAGTTTACTAAAATGTCCCCGAAACAAATCGGAAGACAACACGAAAAAAACCTCGTCAGAACGAAATTTTCCAGCTTCCATATGTCTGTAGGGTGCAATTTAACATATCGTCGTGATCAGTGTAAATGATGTTAACCATAAGCCTACAAGGAAGTAAAATATCCTTCAAGACCAAGAGACAATCCCCGTTCTAATAAACACAAAATGTGGAGTCATCACAGGGAAATGTTGGAACTTAGATGATAGAGATGGTTGAAACATCCAAGAATGTCCTGAATGTTTTGAACATATTGGGGTCTAATAATGATCCTATTATCCATTTCGTGAGCTAGCGTTTCGGGTGCTGATTGGCTTTCATTAATATCACGGAAGTGACGTAGGTTACAAAGCTACCCAATCATCATCTGACAGAGCGGATTTACATTCTCATGTACACGCCCCATATAATTACCCACAGTTATCTCAGAAATCTAAAAGAAAACAATTGAAAATATAGATGTTTATACACTTACCTGTAAACACTGGATGCATCTATATCCGTCGCTTCGTGCGACAGCCACAGGCTACTTCCTTGTAACAAGGTATGGGTAAGGTTAATCATCTGGGTAGCGTTGGGATTGCGACACCACGTGGCCTGGACCACCTGACGATCCAGCAGTGTCATCACCTGTTAGAAACATACATTACATGTTTGTTACTTCAGATGCATATTTTCAGATAACGTTTGAATCATACATTGAATTTTTATTCTATAAAAGAAAATTCTTTCAATAAAAGCGTATCAAAATACTGTTTACAGATATTCAGATTAAGATCGATTGATCGCAGTTAAATCACATAAAATTTCAACTCATTTAATTGCTTATTTTAAAACGGTAAGCAATCATGAGAGTTCGTATTTTGAATTTGATTAATGAGGAATAATAATTGTGAACATCATTAAGTTAAAGTGTGCTATTTTTAATGTGTCGACGCGGTGTACTTTTGTATTTTTTATGTCCAATAAATGTCAATAGTCTTGTCAGTCTGCTAAACTTGAATTGTATTTCTTACCCTGCAGTTGGTAACTTAATTATTCCATTCAAGTTATAGATAGTCTTGTAATGGTTGGAGGATATGATCCGGTTTCCTGATGTAAATTACCCTTTTTGTCTAGTAGTTAAGTTTATGATAGGTATATGCAAGCTTCCCATACATGTCTGAACATATAATCATATCTCTCGTCCTCATGAATGAATGCCCTTACACGCGGTTCAGGTGTTACAGCAGGTATCTAGTTTAAAGATTCAATTACGCTGTTAAAAATGGTAGTAACACTGTGCTATTATGGTTACGCACGGTGGCTTCTATTAGGAGATCAAGAATGCCTTTATGTTTGAATTGTCGATAGACACCGTGTAACACTACATCTTATATTACATGATGTTTATCATTTACATAACCTGCTTTAGTGCATTTTAAATGTTTTCTCATTGTAACTCAATATCAATCAAATTTGATTCGGTTATCTCAAACTTGTTTCAGCCAATTGCCTTTCATTTCTCGAACTGAAAACAATAGAATGGGTGGAGTCTGATTTGTTTTTCCATCTTCCATCCAACATCCCGATCTCCGCAACGTGATCATAAATTAAAACGCCACCAAACACCAAATAGTAGTTCAGTCATGAAATATAATAATGTATGGTGATTTTTTAAGGTGTTTATAGTTAAATAACATCGTTACGGATACAAAAGCGGGTAGGTTTAAAACATTTGACAAATTCTTTCAAAATCCTCCACCAAAATTTAATTAGTATCGTTATTGATGCTTTGATATTCGTACTGGATAAACAGCTTCTTCAACAACACCCCTTTACTCTTTCTAACACACAACACTCTCTTCCATCTCGCTGTACAGTAAGTATATTACCTGCAGTAACAACAGCATTCCTCTACTCTCTCTAACACACAAACACTCTCTTCCATCTCGCTGTACAGTAAGTATATTACCTGCAGTAACAACAGCATTCCTCTACTCTCTCTAACACACAAACACTCTCTTCCATCTCGCTGTACAGTAAGTATATTACCTGCAGTAACAACAGCATTCCTCTACTCTCTCTAACACACAAACACTCTCTTCCCTCTCGTGGTAAGTTAGTAGATTATCTGCAGTAACACCAGCATTCCTCTACTCTCTCTAACACACAAACACTCTCTTCCCTCTCGTGGTAAGTTAGTAGATTATCTGCAGTAACACCAGCATTCCTCTACTCTCTCTAACACACAAACATTCTCTTCCCTATCGCTGTAAGTTAGTATATTACCTGCAGAAACAACAGCAAGAGGAGCATAGTTGTAGCAAAATTTCTGTAGCAGAACTATCAACAAAATTCTGAACTATGATTGTTTCTTATATTAAGCAGAGTTTTATACTGACCACTTAAGGTTTTTCCTCTCTCTACGGGTCCGGTACCTGGACTTCCCTCATGGAAACTCCATCCTGTTCATATAGGAAGTCTGTCCACCCGAATAATGTAAACCGAGTACCTAGTCAATAAAACTAGTAAGTTTCCTTGATAAACCATGACTTATCCAGAAACTTTTGCATGGACAGATCAGAAGGATAATAATAGACATCTTCTACATGTACTACATCATCAAATATGTTTACATAGAAAACAAATATTTGATTGAGAAATAATTCATTTTCATGTATTTTTTCCATTAAAAGAACAAACTGTAATACCAGTATAAAAGTGATTCTAAATATACTAATTTCATGTCTAAAACAATATCAATGAAATCCCACATCAAACAGAAATATCAACATTGCTATTAATATTTTTTGTCAATATAAACAAAAAATAAAACTAATTTGACGTGATATGTAAATTGAGTTGAGAAAAGAAATAACGGATGAAAAAAATAAATCAAATTATCAAATATGAGGATGAAATTCAACAACCAACGTAAAAAGGAACATGTAATTTACGGGACACAAAAGCCAAAATTCTCTCAAAACTTCATTTTGTAATATAATGAATTGCATATCAACGTCACTTCTGATTTACAAACTAGTCGTATTTATGAAAGTGTTACAATGGTGCTGTGCTTTGAATGGCACTAAAAGAATAACTATCTTGTGACGGTGTAACAACGATTGTCGCAATTTGATGATGTGACAACGATTGTTGTGATCTGATGGTGTGACAATTGTTGTGATCTGATGGTGTGACGATGTGGTTTGACAAAGATGGTGTAATTTGATGGTTTGACAAAGATGGTGTAATTTGACGGTGTTACAAAGATGGTGTTATTCGCTGGTGTGACAAAGATGTTGTAATTTGATGGTGTGACAATGATAGCTGCATTTTGATGGTGTGACAAAGATGGTGTAATTCGCTGGTGTGACAATGATAGTTGCATTTTGATAGTGTGACAAAAATGGTGTAATTCGATGACGCAACAAAGATGGTGTAATTTGCTGGTGTGACAATAATTGTTTTAATTTGACGATATGAAAATATATTTTTGATTTGATGGTGACACACAAAGATAATAGTAATTTGATCGTCTTACGCCGACATTTGTTATTTGACGGACATATTGAAAAAAATATTGTCCAAGGTTTGAAAAAGATCTATGATCGTGATAAGAAAATATTGGACATAACGGACAACAGAGTATTTCTTACAATACCAAAAAAGAGAGTAATAAAATTAGCAACAGGAACCACATATGAAGTTAAATGATAGATTTACATAAATATTCCATGCAGACGTACAAAAAATGTAAAATGATCTTTATCAAAACTATAAGATTCAGGTACTAAATGAGTATAAATCCATTATTTATGATTAGTTTGTTATATCGTGGTGTTAAATTTTCTTTGTTCCTTTTCTGCCTTATGAGTGGTCGGAGACCACATTGGAAACGCACCTGTCTTACATGAAAATAACTTCAAATGATCAGAAGAAAAAGAGTGCTAAATTGTAGATACAGTAACTGAACTGTCAGACTTTGGTATTGATAAATGCCATATATATTAATAACAGAAAGTTTAGTCAAAATAAGATGCTGAAAACAAAATTTGAATGAGTAAACAATTTTAATCTGTTAGAATGATCTCCTCTTTAATTTAAAAATAAACGATGAATCGTAATCAAATCATACACAGCAATCATGCCACGCGACCTAATAAAACACATGGTGACATAAAAATCTATCTCTAATTTGTTAAATATTTATTTTTATTTCAAGTATCTAATTATAACTTATCAAGTATCTATTTCTAATTTGTCATACATCTTTCTCTAATTGATAAAATACCAACCATAAAGCACTTTTCATAACAATGTTTTCTCTGATTCATAAAAATCTTTCTCTGATTCATAAAAAAACTTTCTCTGATTCATAAAAAACTTTCTCTGATTCATAAAAAACTTTCTCTGATTCATAAACTTTCTCTGATTCATAAAAAACTTTCTCTGATTCATAAAAAAACTTTCTCTGATTCATAAAGAAGTCTAATTCTGATTAGTATTTATTTTAATTGATCTTTCATCAATCTCTAGTATTATTTTAATATGTTTGATGTGAAAGTGGATTGTATTTTGAGTTTGTTTGGGTGAAGCTTCAGGAAAAAAGATAATTCTCCATCGTAATTGGATCTCTTTCTTATTTCTAGCTTCTCGTTTGTAACATTGTATGGGCGTAACGCTTATATTTAAGGTCATTTAATGTAAGTATAGTTCAGTTTATGTAAGCAAGAAATGTTTGAGTGTGGCATTCTGTTCCCAGTAGTTTTATACCGTGTGAAACAGTGTGTGTAAAATACACAGTATACAGTTTAAGTAATATGGTAGCCCGGTAACAAAGGATTAACCGGATCCGGGCAGACCAGCCCAACTTCAGGATAGTATAGTTCCATTGAATAAGGAAGAATCTTACCTAGAATATTCTGGAAAGGTTACTTATAATCTATATCAGAAATATCTCGTAGTCACTTGGAACAAGATCAAGCTGAAACCATAATCGTCTGTCTCGGAAAGTGATAGCTATTGATAATGCTGCATTCAGACTGACTAGATGGTTATAGGGTTATGCTGTGAAAACTATGTTTAAAAGCGTTCCTCTCTGCATCCAGGTATTCAAAAGATGCCTTAAATCGTATTTGTTGCGATATTTTCCCCAGTGATTTCCTAGATTTGATATATATCACAAACTTCAATGACTTCGCCAATTTCGTCGATGACCTTTAATGCCAAATACTATTTAATCCCGGAGATAATTATTTGAATTATTTGACGAGGATTGAAAAAATGTTAGGTCAAACACATCTTTAAGTCAATGGGGATTTCTTTAGTTAAGTGGCGTGATGTATTTCGATTATGTTAATTGTTTACTAATTGTGGTGGTACGATATTTTTTTTGAAGTCAACATGCTTTAGTATCTAAAAATACATTTCAGAAGGATTTTTTGTAATCAGATATTTCAGCATACCAAATTTAGGAACAAAAGGATAAGAATGCAATCACTAAGCCACGAAGATTGCAAAATATCCCCAATTAGACTTGAGTTATGTAACATAGTTTTCCAATATATCTAGAGCTGTATTAAAATAGCAACAAGATTTTTAAAAAGTTGCAAACTTAAATTAAAGGGATGTGTCATCTTCCA